CTTTCTATTTGACTTAGTCTCTTGTTACCAAGGAACTGAGTCCATTTTTAAGCTGTGGAATGTTGACACTTTGAATTCAGAGTAATCCTTTAAAAATGAAAGAGTACTTATCTTCAGAAGATAATGATGTGTTTTTGTACAATATAAGACTGCTCAAGAATTTTTAAAGGGGTTATAAATTAAGGTAACTATGAACAAATGAGTAAGTTCTACTTGAGCATATAGAAAAGGCTGAATTTAAAAGTAACAGGCCATCAGAAATATTGAAGAAAATAGCAGGCCATCAGAAATATTCAAGAAAAAAACAATGGCAATGAAAAATATAAATGATTAAGGGATAAGAGCAGTATCTGAACTGATGCTGGTCATGGGCTAATTTTCACCTCAATTTAACAAGCAGAATAAAGTCAGTCCTGATTTTAAATAGTAACATATCTATATGGATAAAATAATTTTTTCTTCAGTAACATAATTATGTTTGGAAGTGGTTGGTTCAAGCCCATTAATCTTCACACAGTGTTAATTTATTAAACTGAGCTTTCACTAAGGAATGCACCTAGAGGCCATTCCCTTGCACAACCTTACTTTACTGATGAATCAACTTCAAATGCCATTTGGTCAGTAAGACTACATGAAACACTTTCCAGCACTTACTTACTTTAGGATACTCATGAATCTTAGGATGAATCAAAGATTGTGATGTTTCATCTAAACACTAAGCAATACATTGAATGAAAATTTGTAATCAAGTTATTAATTTATTGTATTCCATATTGTACACAACTGTGAAATATTAAAACTGAGAGTAATTTGGACTTAAATAGGTAGTTTGTGGAGTACAGTCATCCCTTAGTATTGGCAAGGCAGTGGTTCCAGAACCCTCCCCCCCAATACCAAAATCCACAGATGCTCAAATCCCTGTATAAAATGGGATAGTATTTGCATATAATCCATGTATATCATCCTGTATACTTTAAATCATCTCTAGATTACTTACAATATCTATTGCAATACAAACGCTATGTAATAGCCTCTGAGGGATTTAACCACTTAACTGCCTCTCTCTTCTCTCCCCAACATTTTCTATCTCCTGTTGGTTGAGTCTACAGATGCAGCATCTGGTGACACAGGTGGCTGAGCATAAATGCAAAACAAGATCATCATGATCTCTGCTATCAAATTATGGGCTTCCACAAAGTGATACCACTCCTTGGAAAGAAGATGGGGCAATCTACTTCTGTAGTCATACTGCCTTGGAAACCCAAGGAGGGGTCGCTATGAGTCAGGTCTGACTTGACAGCACATAACAACAACAACAAAGTGATACCATTTTAAAAACAATATAAGATTTCCCCCCCTTTTTAAATAATTTAGCTGTAAAACTAAACTTAGTTAATCATCAGGAAAAAAATAAGTTTGGCTATGGTGTTCTTAAAGCAAAAAAAAAAAAAAATAACCATTCAACATTTTCCCTCTACGGAGAAAGAATCTAGGTATTACCAAACCAAAGCAAACTCACTGCCATTGAGTCCATTCCAACTCATAGCAACCCCCACTGGGTTTCCAAGGCTGTAAATCTTTATAGAAGCAGACTGCTCTATTTTTCTTCTGTGGAATGGTTGGTGGGTTCAAACAACCAGCTTTCTGATTAGTAGCCAAATGCCTTAACTACTACAGCACAAGAGATCCTTAACAGAGAAAACAAGCTGCCAGTAGTAATAAGTATACAAAAACACCCTCATAGTTACCTCTGAGATTTAAGCAAACTCAAGAGAAAAATGATAGTTATTGAAAAGTTTAACAAGAAAAACTTTCAGAAGAGATATTAATAGTCTAAAATGAAATAAAATTTATGAATATTTTCAGTTTCTAAAAGAATCTTTACTAAATAATACTGGGCATGAACTCTTATTTTAGGTCTCTCATAATGCAATAACACTCCTATTAGCTTCATAGTTTAAACGTGAAATGAGAGGAAAATAATCCCATCAATAAAACAAAGTCTTTCTAAACCTAATCTCAGGTGCTTTATAAAAAAAATATGGGAGTTCCAGTAAGATGGCGGAATAGGCAGAAAGACTGCATAGACACTCTTCAACAAAGAAAAGGGGAGCCAATTAACACAGATACAGAAGATAATCCTGGAGCCTTGAAGGGAAAGATACAGAAGTGGACTAAACTCCAACTAAGAGAAGAATTTGCATGAAAACACCAAAAAAGGAGACATACGGAGCCACAGTCTGGCAGTGATCCTGATGGCACAGACAGCTTGGATATGGCTGAGTGGTGGTAGGATCTAAGAATTAACCTAAAAATTGGCCCTGTTAGCTAGGGACTGCATGAAGTACTGCTTTGGTGGTTAGGGAATAAAAGGGGAAGCAGCAAAAAGGAAGGCAGGCTGAGCTGTGGACTTTTCTCTGTCCAGAGGATGGAGCCATTTTGAATGTTTACAAGCAGCTTGACCATTTTGGATATTTAAAGTGACAGCGTTCTCCCAGATTCCAGGGACTTAAGAACAAGCTCCACTTGCTGGGAACCCCAAGGACATTCCAGACCCAAACGATTGGAAAGTGCAACATTCCCCTTGTTACTCTTATACCCCACACCCTCTTGGGGAACGGAGGTGAGGCCATCCCTCACTCCCACCCACTTTCTGGGCCGGCAGGAATTCCATCCCAGTCTCTGTGCTCAGATGGAGCCTGGGTGTCCTGCCCTGCCTTGACCGGAATTTTTTTTTTTTCTTTTTTTTTAGTTTGTTTGTTTTTGTCTGTTTTAAAACTATTATTATTACTTTTGTCCTTTTTACTATTATTCTTTATTCTTCCCCTCCCAGGTTATAGTTTTCAGCTTTTTTTTCTTTTCCCTGTTCCTGGTTGCAATTTTTATTTTCTTTCTCATGGTTAACCCTGTTCCTTGTTTTTCTTTTTGCGTTTTTCCCATTTTTTTCTTCATTATTCTCCTTCTCTACATTTTTCCTCTTATTGCCCTCTCCCCAGATATTGCAGGTTTTTTCTTTCTCTTTTTTTAATTCTTTTCCCCTTTTTTCTTTTTTATGGTTACTGTTCCTGTGCAATTACACAGTGTGTTTTTTGCCCATTTGCTTTTATTTTTTTGATGGTTATTCAATTGTTATTTTTGTCAGAGTGGAAGACAGCAACAGTCCTCATATGACACAACTAAACCCACACCTCCTGGAGCTTCACTTACTGAGTGAGAGCCACCATTTCTTTCTCCACCAATGGGCCAATGATGAACAACCACCAAGAAGAGCCTGAATCACCCCTGGCTGCTCTTCACAGATAGTTTTAACAGAGATCTAAATACAATAACGCCACGATGTCTGAGAGACAAGAGACCATCACATTCCACACAGAGAAGCAAGATAAAGTGGTAGAAAGAAGGAGCAGGATATAGACCCAGAACACATTCCTGAGGAAGAAGCAGCACTGGAACTCTCTGATAAGGAATTAAAAAATATATATATTTAGGTATCTTCAAAGGATTGAGAGACAGACCAAGGAAAACACAGACAAAACCCTAGAAGAATTTTGGAAGAAAATAAAAAAAAAAAAAAAAAAAAAAGAAAAAGAAAATATGGAAGGCCTAGATGGCCAATTGTCTTATATTCATTCTGGAAGTGTAGAGGATTAAAGTGAGTTAAACAGTTCCATGGAACTAGAAGTATTATTCTCTGAAAGGACTCAAGGTTTAAAACAATGCAATAATGAATTAATCTAAGGATATTTAAGTATCATTCTTTACAAACTTTGAAAGAAATAAAATAACAGAAAATGAAGACTGGACGAAGTGAAAAACTCTACCTTGACTCTGCAGAAGACCAGCCTCAATATATAGTTGTGAGAGAATAAGACACTACTCAAAATTAAACGAGTTTGAATCCAAAAGAAGATGAGCATATTCACTTCAAAAGATATTACAATCTTGGTTTTCATGTATTTCTAAACAAAGAAAAGTTTTCAATATCTCAATGATTGGACTAGCTATTATATAGAAAAATGTTTTTATTCATCAATATGTCACAAGTACTTGGAACAATGTCTAGCACCTAACTGATCCTTACTAAATATTTGTTCAATGAATGAATGAATAACAATGTGAGCTAGCACTTGAGGTAATCTATAGCAAATTAAATCTGAAGTAGATTTATTTTTTAAAAATTAAACCATGGAATCAATTTGTGTAAATGGTTAGTATTCAGAAATCCTCAAGCCAATTATAATAGAGTAACATTATCCAAGGAATTTTAAAACCTATCCTTCCTGAAGGTTGGGCAATCCTACTTCCGTAGTGATACTGCCTCGGAAACCCAAGGAGGGGTCGCTATGAGTCAGGGCTGACTCGACGGCACATAACAACAATAACAACATCCTTCCTGAAATGTAATGTAAGCAAAATGATCTACATACAAAATTTTGTGCCTTAAAGGAATTACTTTCATTAAGTCTTCCAGATTTTTGTTTATGAAATCAGGGAATTTTCAGGGATGGCAGAGATCATCTAATTTAGTCCCACCACCATCATTTTACACATAAAATGGCTATTTCTGTATTTGAAAGCTTAATATTTCATTTTTACATTAAAAACAGAAAACAATGACAATTCTGAGAACAAATCTCTGACTTTTTCACTCTGAAATGGCAAACTATTCACAATGTCAAAAAAGTGTTCTGTTAAAGAGGAATAGAATAGTGTTATAAAACAAAAAGCACAGGAATGAATTTGGGAATATGTAGTAGTAGTTCATCATAATTTTTGAAAAGGACTGGCCATCACGCCTCCTTTACTCATTATTACTTTCAACAAACTACTGTGTACAGGAAGATGAAGCATACCTATAGGCATTTAAAACTATCTTTATCAATAATAATACATTAGCACCTATACATTTAAAGTTATCACAGTTAACCCAAAACAAAAACTTTCTTCTGAATTGAAACCTATTTTATTTGGAAGTATAAATATTTTAAAATTTGACTTACCGGAATAGAGATTTTTTTTAAATTACAGTCCTTCTCCAGGAGCTCATATACATACTTTGTGATGATCTAGGTAGAAAAAATATTAATAACATATTAATATTCAATGCCTTCCATTATCAAAATCTATATACATTATTACAAAATATTGCTCTGAATGAATATCTATCTTATAATGTCTTGATACTAAATTAAGACCCTCTTTACTGATTATCTGTAATTGTTTACCTCCTGCTGTGGCTGTGTAAATTAATTATAGACTTCAATACTAAAGATTAGGACTACTTAATATAAAGTCACAAAATCACAAAAGACTTTCTTTTTCAAAGCATTACCTAGTCTTCCTAGAACTTCTTTCCCCTACTGTTGTTGTTTTTGTTGTGTGCCATCTATTCGGACCCGACTCAAAGTTATCTCTCCTTGAGTTTCCAAGGCAGTATCACTACGGAAGTAGATTGCCCAACCTTCCTTCCGAGGAGTGGCTGGTGGATTTGAACCTCCAGGCTTCTGGTTAGCAGTCAAGTGCCTTAGGCACTACACTACCAAAGCTCCCTCTTTCCCCTATAGTTTCCCTTAAGTGTTATACCCAATCTAGAACTGTAGCGGTTCTAAATGCCAACACTTTCTCTATGGTATTTATTGTGGCAAAGAGGAACACCAAACCAAAAATTCCACTGCCATCGAGTCAGATCTGACTCATAGTGACCCCTCCTTGGGTTTCCAAGGCAGTATCATTACAGAAGTAGATTGCCCAACCTTCCTTCCAAAGAGTGGCTGGTGGGTTTGAACCTCCAGCCTTCTGGTTAGCAGTTAAATGCCTTAGGCACTACTCCACCAGAACTCCCGCAAAGAGGAACAGGTCCAAGATATTCCAAACAAAAAAATAGAAAACTGATCAGTCAAAGTCAGACACCAGTCACTGTTACTCTTTGTGGTAGGCATAGCCATGGCACCATAATAATGTCTGTACCCTGAGACACAGATTCTGTGAATATGCTATACCTTTTACTGTGGCATAGCAGATAAGGGGTTTGACTACTAAACAAAAGGATGATGGTTCAAACCCACTACCTGTTCTACAGAAGGAAGATGAAGCAAACTACTTCCATTAAAATTTACCACTTTGGAAACCCAACAGGGGTCGCCGTGAGTCAGAATCTACTCAATGGCGGTGAGTTTATTTGCTTGTTTGTTTTCAAGGGAAAAGAATCTTTGCACATGTGATTAAGGTTAAAGACCCTGATGTGGGAAGATTATCCCGGGTTACCCAGCTTGGCCCAATCTGATCACATTTAAAAATGCAAGACAGCTGAAGAACAGCATGCCCAAAGACATAAGATGAAAAGAATTTGACTTGCTGTTTGTCAGTTTTGAAGATGGAAGGAGGAGTCCATGAGCCAAGGAATGTGGTGGCTCTGAAAGATAGGATAACCCTCAGCTTACAACCTCTAAGAAAATGGGGACCTTAGTCCTATAAACCAGAAGTAACTGAATTCTTCCAATAACCCTAAAACCAGTAATGAGGTATCCTGTAGAGCTTCTAGATAAGACTATAGCCATTTACCTTTGATTTTATTCCAATGAGACTCATACTAGACTTCTGACCTACAGAACTATCAAATAATAAATCTGTGTTGATTTAAACCACTAAATTTATGGTAATTTTTTATGGCACTAATAAATACTAAAAAAAGTAAAAGTAAGGAAATAGATGTCTGAAATAAAAGTGATTATTTACTAAGCTTTAATAGTCACTTTAAGAAATGTTTCTCCCTCCAAATATCTTTATCATGTAAATTAACTATCTCAGAGAATGTTTTTAGCAGCAGCATAATTAAAAATTAAAATTTATGAAAAAAATATGAAGATGATGATTATTTTTTAAACTAAGCTTTCAATAGGTTTGGTGTTATATTCCATAATCTAAAATAGATTCTCTATCCTTCTTTCCTAGAGAAGCCCAAAATTCTTTCTTCTATCTGTATGTATTCACTTCATTTTAGAAATAATATATTAGATGAATGCTAAAACATGTATCATGCCAACTCAAAAAAAAAAAACCTCAATGCCATTGAGTCGTATCTGACTCATAGCAATCCCTCCTTGAGTTTGCAAGGTGGTATCACTATAGAAGTAGATTGCCCAATCTTCCTTCTGAGGAGTGGCTGGTGGGTTTGAACTGCCAGCCTGCTGATTAGCAAATACCTTAGGCACTACACCACCAGTGCTTCCATACATCTTGCCAGGTGATGGTAATTTCAAAAGATGTTACTACAGCAGAACTACATAACAGTCTGCCAGAATAGTATTCCTACATTTTAATATAGCAATTAAAATTATGCTCATTATACCTTTACCAGAAAGTAGGAGTACTAAACTAAAAGAATGTAGGATAAGGCTGGAAATATGTATGAAGTTAAATAACGCCTTCTACTGCTTCATGAGAATTGGCTTAACTAAATGAGATTAGCTAAAATGAGTGGCTTAACATTTCTCATGATTTCCTACTATCTGTAAAATCCTAAAATATTCTTACATTTAAAGTAATAACAAAACCAAGCTTAACTCCAACCCAAATGAATTCTACCATTTTGCAAAATACTTGAGGTATAATTTGACAATTAAAAAATTAAACAATTTTGGCAATTCATTCCTTATATCAATCCTAAGTATATTAAGTATATCATTAAAGCTAATTCTCAATTTTTATAAAAGAGGGTAATACAAAACAGTAACTGATTTAAAAACTGCTTACATTTGGCTTTAAAATACTAACAGAAAAAGTCTCTGTTCTGGAAATATGCAATATAAAACAAAAAAACTGAATAATAAAACTGTACCTCAAAGATCTGAGCAAGTAATAGCTGAAGAGCCACTACCCAACTTGCCCAATCTGCTTTGCTCTCCAATCCCTGACAGCAGAAGAAAGCAACAACAGACTAAATCATCTATGTCTTAAGTTGTTCTCTCTGCCTAGACTGTTCTTCTCAACCCTAGTCATCTTTTCAGGGATAGATCATATGTCAACAGTTTCAGGCAACTTTCTCTCACCCAGCCCAACCCTTCATCTCTATGCTCTTCTGGACATGAAACAGTATCATTATCGAGCACACAAGTTTGACAGCATATATGTGTCTGTGACTCTATTAGTCTTAGAACACACTGATTTGGGTATTTTGCTGTCATTCCTCTTTATATTGCCCACAGGATAGTGTCTGGCACATTGAAGGTACTTCAAAATGGTATAAGAGTTTTCCTTACTGTCCATTATGTCCACATCTTTTGAGAGAGGCAAGTGTTTCAGATTCTAAGAAGCTTTTCTAATTGCTGAATTGAGGTTATTAGAAAGAAAATATCAAGAACCCACTGCCTTCCAGTTTATATAGGATTACAGTCTGCATTTAGAAAAATCAACAAATAAAAGATAATTTCAAAAAGGAGATGGAAAAAAGTATCTCTGTCCAAATGTCTTCTGTGTTTAAATATTCCCTGGAAATAAAAGTTAAATATGGCTGAGCAATCACTGTATTTTTAAAGCTTTCCATAGATATGGGGGAAAAAAAGAGGCTTAAGAGACTAAGAATGCACTAAAGTTAAACCTTCATTCTAATAAGAAACACAGAGAGAAAAAAATCCTACACCTGACAATTTTCCTGGGCTTCTTCTGATTCCTAAGAAGCAGCCATATGGATAAAATTAAATGAATCCACAATGGAAGAGATAGGAAAATAATTTTGAGATTATATATTCATGAAATAGATCCCTTGGCTACCAGTAGAATGTCCTTTAAAGAATTAGAAAGAGCCTGACTAGACTTTTTTTCTAGTTCAGAGTTTCTTCACCTAGGGATTAAAAGAAACTTTTAAAAGGCAAAGAGGGGATCAAAGAAGTAGACCATAAAAAGAAAGAGAATGGAGTCTGATGAAAATCACTTCTCAATGGAGTATTTCCAAAAGAAGGGGTATGTTCACCCTGCTACAAATTTACTCTTGACATTTATTGAGCACGTGCCATGTGCTTATCGTGTGCCTCATTAATTTCAGCATTACTTCTGACCCTTAATTAAATATCAGACTAACACTGATAGCCCTTACCATTTCAAAAGCGCTCAAATTATTCTAGCAGATTATAATTTAATCTGCAAATTATAGAAGTCTTCCATAAGTACTTCTCAGACCAGAATTCAGAAATAAAATGGTATCTATGTAGCATAGTGCCTAAGGCACTTGACTGCTAACCAGAAGG